ATTCTGATTCAAACCTAGTTGCTAAGTATACTTATTTTGAAAACTCATATTTGGATATAAAGGGTCCCAAGGCGAATTAATATAAGGAGTACAAAAACAAAAATTTACATTTAGTTTTTGCTTGGACGGCATGAACTGTCAAAATCTGAAAGTGTGTGTGTGGAAATTCAAACAAAATTTTTCAATTTGACATTTAAAGCCATGAGGCGAAGCAAATATATAAATTCGCCTTGATGGGTCGATTATCGATAGCAACCGCATTTCAGTTGCGTTGCTAGTTGCCGAAACGATATTAAGATGGCAACTGGCTTAAGTGCAGAATACGGCCCGTTAAGCTAAAAACAACGAGGAAGTGAGCCTGGTCCGCCTTTTTTCTGATTTTAAAGGCATACACATTTTTTGGAGCAAACTTATATTTTCGTGGCTATGGAGGGGCAAAGGGTGAATTTTCGAAAAACGGACCTTATTCTGCACTTGTTCCTAACGCTCAACTGGCAACTGCAGTTGCTACAAAGTGTGTATTCAGGCAACTATATATTAGTGGTTGCTGGGAAGGTGTTTGGAGCGTATTTAGGAGCGGAAATTGAAAAGTATGTACAGTATTTTACTTTATAATAGTTTGAACGATATTAACATTATGCAATGTATTCAATTTTATGTTACCAGGCTGGTCTGATCTATGTTTTTTTGTGCAAATAAAACTACGTTATTTCACTTTCTGGCCCAAAGTTTCGAAAAAACATTTTTAGCTTCTTCAGGGGCAATTTCGTTTAATTAAATCTGTCACAAAACATGAAATACAACAAAAAACACATTATAACCAAAAAATTAATAAATAGAAACATACAAATATATACATATCTATATGGGATTAAAATTTATAAGATAAACCACAGATTGAATTTACCCACCAGATTGAATTTATACCACCCACAATCATTCCCGAACAACAGCCGGTTCTACGTACCGGAATGACTCGGGTTTTACCCGAACAAGGGCTGTTGTTTCGGCGATCTAACCCCGTTTAGGTCGGCGAAATCTATCAAACGTTGCTCGATCCTAGGGCTACACCTTCTCCGCACCCTTCT